AGCAAAACATTACTCATCAGATATGTGTCTGGGACATAATTTTTTCCCAGTATTTTATAATACAGGATCCAGCAGAAGTAACACCTGCTTGAGTGTGGTTGGTAGGGTAATAAGTGCAATAATTTATAGCTTTAATTTGAACATTTCACCTGAAATGTCACGTGGTGTGCTTGAGTGTGATATTATGATACAGAATTACATGCTTGTGATTTTGTAATAAAAGATTTTGTAATAAAATGGGATGTTATTTGTGCTGGACCCTGTATTTGCTGTCTTAGTCTGTTCAGGTTACTATAACAGAACACCAGGTAGCTTATATAAAAGAGAAATTTATTTCTCATGGTTCTGGAGGCTGGAAGTCCAAGATCAAGATGCCAGCACGGTCATGGTCTGGTGAAGGCCCTCTTCCCGGTCCACAGCTGGAGTCGTCTTGCTGTCACAAGGTGGAAGGGACTAGGGAACTCTGAAGGTTCTGTTTTATAAAGGCATTAATCCCACTCATGAGGACTCCACCCTTATGACCCGGTCAGCCCCAAAGCCCCCACCTCTAAGGTCATCAAATTGGCATTAAGATATCAACACATGAATTTAGGGGTAGAATTCAGACAATAGATTTGCTATTCTCTGTATTTATGGGGCTTATCAATCAAATGCTGAATCAACATCTTTAGAAAATAAAACATTAGACTAAGTATATCCAGAATTAGATACTAGTTCTAGCTTTTTCACTTATTTGCAGTGTTTATGAAGAAAATCATAACCTACGTGAACCTGTTTCCTAATCAGTAAAGTATATTTTCAGATACCTCACACATCCATGAGAATTTTGCAAGTGAATTAGATAAAGCCAGTAACAACTGTGCTAATTTGTAAAGTACTTGTTAAAAAGGGCATACGATGGAATACTACACAGCAGAAGAAAGGAGCTCCTACCTTTTGCAACAGCATGGATGGAACTGGAGAGCATTATGCTAAGTGAAGTAAGCCAGGCAGTGACAGACAAATATGATCTCACCTGTAAGTGGAATCTAATCAATAAAACAAACAAGCAAGCAAGATATAACTAGGGACATTGAAATTAAGAACGAACTGACAGTAAACAGAGGGGAGGTGGGAGGGGATAGTTGAGAGAAAAGAGGGAAGGGTCATCAAGGAACATGTATAAAGGATACATGGACAAAGCCAAATGGGGTAGGATCGAGGGTGGGAGGTAAGGATGGGTGGGGTGGGGGTTAGGGTTAGGGTGGGGGAAAATAGAGACAACTGTGCTTGAACAATAAAAAAAACCTCACATATATATTCTCGTTGCATTAAGTTACTTATATTGAAAGAGACTGTATTTCAAGTTAGTTCATCAAAGCTGTGACAGGATAAAGAATAGAGAGCAGAAACAGGTTGTGTACAGAAGAGATGGGGAGAATAAAAAGGCTGATGTAGACAGATGAAGAGGGGGTGAGAAAGTACCTGGAAATAAATGTGAATAACTTACATGACGTAATGAGAAAAAGACAGGAAAAGAAGAAAAAATTAGGGAAGAAAAGAAGGCCACTCACTCCCTAGACTGGGATATTTCACTTCCAAAATATGCACTCACTTTTCCTGCTCTAAAAGCTAACTGCCCTAGGTTCTGAGTCCCTACTTTTGAATGAGGCGAGTTAGAGTTGGGAACTCCTCCATTGTTTAGAAAAGCTGTGTTGGCCATAGTCTTTCTAAGTTTTTTAATCCACCAACCAGAACCAATACATGGACCCAGGGTATTGACATGCTATTGACTTTATTCTCATTTTCTCTTAAATTCCCTACTTCATCATCACGGTATTTCAAGAAGCACACCCAGTGGAGAGAGCTGATTCTGGTCCCAGTGGCCATCAGCTGAGGCAAAGTGACAACAATGAATGACTCAGGTCATAAGCTCACCTAAGGCCAGTAGAGCACAACACACACCCCCTTACCTTCCTTTTTTTGTACCTTTAGTTCTTCCTGGAGCACTGAAAATCTTGCTTCTTTGCATATGTTCCGGTTGGTCAGATGGTGAGGTTCATACAGCTCTTTTAAGGGTTTCTAGAACAAACAACTCGACACCAATTTGGGCAGTATCTGTTTTTACTGTTTTGAGGGATCTGTTCCATGCCTGACAAAATTTCAAGTTAGAGGCAGTTGGTTGGATCCAAGAATATTCTAGGATTATGAAAGAGTGGTGACGATGAAAAGAAAAAGGCGGATGTTTCTTTTTCTCAGACTGGGCATATTTATGTTCCAGGATCTCCCCCTACGTTTGCCCATTTTTGTATGGGATTACGGACACTTCATCTTCTTTGCCAATTCCTCTGTGTGTGCCTGTTAGGCTTTTTAAAGGAAGAACCTCCTTCAGTTTTTGTGTTCAGTCTGAGAAAAGCAGCAAAGTTCAGTTTCACCCGTTGGATCCTAATTGCTGCCTCTAGCGAGAAGTTAAAACAATCACACTGGGAACTGTTGGTAGGGCTATTAACAAAACATGAGGGTTAGTTGGGAGTTTAATGGGTCCACCTTAGAAACCCTTACAGGAAGGGGGAGAGTTGCTACAATTCTAAGTGAACTACCTTCACCAGGGAGCTCACACCCCAAGGATACCCTTTGGCTTGAACATAGTGGTAAAAAGTCTCACAGTCATGTCAAGTTTTCAATTGGTTATCATTTCTCCAACCCCAATGCAGCAGAAAAATCAGGAACATGTGGCCTGTTCTTTTCTTCAACTTTTTCATTTTGCTTCTGTCAATACCATAAACCAAATCTGATAAACATCCCATGCAGATCTTGAAGGGATCTATCATACACTTAATACTAGAGAGTAATTGATTAATCTCATCTTTTTTTGTCTTGTTAGTCTCTTCATTTGTACTTCCCCCCACGTTAGAATTTGAATTCAACATGGTCAAGGAAGGAAAATCCCATAGGAATTTGTAGTATTTTTCATTTTGTGTGGCTTGTGGCGGTGAAGTTAGAAATGTGATAAACATCCATGAGATTCTGTGACCACTTACTGACGAAGGAAAATTCTAATAGCTCTCTCTAATGCGAGGGTGGACCTGAGGCTGGCTCGGATGAGCAAGACGCAGGCACAGACAACGGGAGGGATGGACTGTAGGAGTGGGGGATGGGGGTAGGGCTGAGCAATGGGGAAAACAAAGGGACAACTGTCACTGAACAACAATAAATAAATTTTTAAAAAAGAAAAAAGGTAAAGAAAACAAGTCTGCAAATCATAGTGCCTTTTTGCATTCCAGTTATGAAGATATTTGTAGCAGAGAAAACTTCTAGTGTTAAAACAAACTTCATTTGTAAAATCTGAGGGAAACGTTGACTCACACGGTTGTAGCATAAGGCGAAGCAGAACAGACCACATTTTTGCTACTGTGATCGAACAATTTCTATGACCTAAACTTTAATTTAATCTTGGTCTGACTCCTAGGAAATGCTGGGTTCAAATAGGTCTAGTGAGCAGTACTTGGGCCTTTGGGGCAAGTCTCAACTCTTCTTCCCCCAGGCCTCACTTTTTTCTTCTGTACATAGGGGATAGGCTCTTAAGTACAGGCTTCTAAGTTTTGTCTCAGGGGTAGATTAAGATGTAACGTTTTTGAAGAGAAAAGAGGTGCCATCCTTAACAAGATGTGGAGGGCTGGGCTCTCTGCTCTGGCGGGCTATGCAGTCAGGATGGGGATTTCTGAGACCACCTGCGCCCCCGTCTCCGGGGCTGCGAGTACGGCGCACACACCACGGCCATGATAACAGAGTAAGTTTAATCTTCTGTTTTGCAAGATGTTCGTGTACAGAATGTTCACCAGAAAGTTTTTATAGCAAACTTTTATGTCAGAAGTTTATTTTATTGGTAAAATATTAAATAATATACAGAATTAAAAACTGCACTTACACTTCTGAGAAGAAATAAATCTTGGACAAATTATATGCTTGTTCCTGAGATTCCCTAAATTTATTCCAGTAGCTGTGCACTCAGACAGTACAAACCTTTATAATATAATCCTTTCACAAAGTATTACAAAGTTTCTGCAGCTTTTTAGTGGTACACACACACAGACGCACACTCACACATGCATATACAACACTCACACACATATACACAGTTACCACATACATGCACAGAACATGTATGTGTGTGCATTAAAAACAGAAAAAATACAAGTCCCGTAATTTAGTCTGCAGTGATATTGGAGGTCTCCGAATTGGTACACAGCAGAGTGACTTGTCTCACAGCTGCAAAGACGGTTTCAGTATTTCCATAGTAACCCTCATGTTCTGAGGTCTGGTGTTTGAGCCTTAAAAAAACTACATTACACTGAGCAAACCTGACATACAAGGTCTGGAATTTCAATTTTACATATATATTTATATATATATATTTCTTTTTAAAACAATAGTTTTTATTTTCCCAAATTATTAGTTTGAAAAAAAATATGAGGTTTACTGGTTTGACCTATTTATTTTTATTTTTATTTTTTTGCTTCTAAAACTCAAAATATCCTAGACACTGTCAAGCAATTAGTTTTTAAAGTAGTCTAATTACCTTTGGTATTGTTAAAGGAAAAAAAAATCTAAAATGGCCAAGACATATACTGTACAAATGCAGTAACTGCCTTTAAGAGAAATGCCAAAGAAATGTTATCTTTTAACAAAATATGTATTTACATTACAGCAGTTTTACTATAGGGACACAGGTATAAAAAAAGAAAACCAACAAACTGCATATAAATATGCATGATATGAAAAATACTTCTTACTTAAATCTGTACGAAAACAGGAGTGCTCCAAATATTTCTTAAACATTTTCTCCAATAAGTGATAGGTGTTTAAAATTGAGCTAAGTGCTTTGCTTTCATTGTAAAAGTTCATTTTCAAAGGAAAAAAAAACTGAAATAAAAATATCATGTCCTTAATTTAAAACATTGGGTGAGGACCTAAGAAAAACAATCCATCTTTAAGAATTTCAACTTCAGGACATACTTCTCAGGCAAAAGATTACTAATTTTAATGAAAATTCAACCTAATTAAAGGTACCACAAGACTGGATCAACCGTTTCCACATTCTCTGATTCTTTGACTGTGGAGTGTTTTTCTCTTTGCTTGCTTTGTCCTTTAATTAACATACCATGATTTTCAGGGGTTTCTTTTTTCATTAACTAAAGAAAGAATATGTCAAAAAACAAAACAAAATAACCATAGTTTTTAAGACTTCGAGGAAAGTATTGCACTTGTACAGAAAATAAAGAAAAGGATCTTTTTAACTAACTAGAAGCAATTGTTCTGGAATTGCAAATAACACATGGTCTAAAAGGTCCAACTAGTAAGAGCAAATGTGGAGCTGGAAGAGCCCCCTCTGAACCTGGAATAATATTATAGTAATGTTAAAGCATGTTCTCCCAACTGGGAATCAGTTAAGACTTTTTGCTTTACACTTTTAACATCTTCCTAAATACTTGCAAAAAATTGTTTAATCTCTCATTATATACACTTTAGGAGGCAAATCAAATCAGAACACAAAATTGAACAAAAAAAAAAAGGAAGGCAAACATACCAAATTACGATGACATAATCTCTGAGGTCACATTTTAGGTGCCCAGTATTTGAAAGTGAAAGTAATACAAAGGTTACGTACCTTACCATTTTTAATCCAACTACTCTTTTTTTAAATATAAAACTACACTTGAGTATAAAAATATGTCAGCAGATTATACAGCCAACAAAAATCACACACACAAAATTAAGACTTAAGGGACCCATGAATCAGAAATAAGAGCTGACCTAATCTTCAAACTAGTAGGGGGAAAAGAGCGGCGGAGACGCCCGAAGACAGTGATGGCAGAGATATGGACAGAGAGGAGGAAGAAGGGGAGGAGGGGAGACGAAATTCGAGAGATAACAAAGGGAACTTTTTTACACAGGAGGGGAAATGATTTCTGTTGATAATCTGAGAGTGCTCAACAGTCAATTTTTTTTTTATCACAGTTTCAGTAATTGAACTACTTAAAAAATAAACATAAAAGAATAAAACAACAACAAAGACAAAACCCAGAGTCCTTCCCTTGTTACAGTGTATTCGATTTTTAAAATTCATTTCCAGTAAGTTAAATTAAGCAGAATCCTGGTAAGTGCATAGTAGGGGATGCAGTGACCTCCGCCCATCCGAGAAGCTTTCCTTACTGTGAGTCACTTGAGGTAATCTGAAGGGCCCAGCTAACTGCAGACTGGCTTATCTGTACCTGTACGGAGTTACATGCTATACTTTATGTGGTTTAGCAGAGGGCCTCTAAATTTTATATTTTATTCACAATAAAAGGACATCTTAGAAAACTAGCCATTCACATACCATTCTCTATATGGGATAAGGGTTAATTCACAAAAAATTTATACAGAAAATATACAAATGCAATATTATGGGAGGAAAGCCCCATAAACAGAATTAAGAACTTACTTCCAAGAGTGCATTTGAAAAATATCCACAAACTTACAGTACAGCAAGAGAAAACTAAAAAGCTCAAAATAGAATGTTACATAAAAATTTTATGGAAATTTCAAAATTTTAGGTTTCTGCAATAAATGTAAAAATTTTAAGGTGCCGTTATTTGGCCTAGCAATACACTATGATATAAAGAAACACTAGCATATCACAGCTTCTTGGTCATATGACATTTGCTTCATATAACAAGCAGCTTATTATTATTACTTTTTTAAAAAAAGCTGTCATATCCTAACACATTCATTGCAAGTAATACACAACCATGGCAGGCAACATTTGAGATTATGCTTTGGAGAATAGCAATGTGATATGACTGTTCAGTTTTGTTTTGTTCAAGGAGAATTAATTACCTGCTTCTTTACATTACTCCATAAAACATTAACAGCTTAGAGGACAGAGGTTCTAAGACTAGTACAATGCTAGTCATTCGAGGAAGTTCCAAAACAATACTCTGTTTTATTGAGCAAAAGCCCCACTCATAAAGCCTTGCATGGTATTAGAACTTATTTTTCCTTAAAAACAAAACAAAACACATACCATAATGCAATCCACAGCTAAAATTTCCATCTGCCTTCTATTTCACCTGCATACCCTTGTAACAGTATTCAGAAAGACTACCTAACTAGAAAGACATTAAAATTGTTTCAAAATTTCCTTTTGCTTTACACAGGTGAGCTCAATGTCTCTGTATTGAAAATTCTTCTAATAGTGTTGCCCTAAAAACACGAAGATAAATTATATAGTACTTGATTTTAAGTGATTTTTAAAAATACATAATAACAGTGTTGTTGTGCTGCCACAGCTAAGGCAACACTCACTGCATTTTCAAAAGGCACCGATAGAAGGAAATTCTCTAAGTATTTAATACATTTAAGGTCAGGGTCTTAGGAGACCAGTTACTGTATATTTTAGTTAATTTGCAGAAATTGGAGGTGTCAAAACATTGCTAAGATAACTTTCATATGTACAAATTACAATTTCACTGCCACTCTTTTTTTCCTGTGCATTTGGGGAATTTCTGTTGTAGAACAGTCTTCATAAGATAGTACTTTCTAAAACGATACATAAAATACAGCTAAAGATGATCACAAATGTAACATTCATTCTTGTAAAATGAACAATTTAAAGTTTAAAAACAACATAGCCAGTATCTATCTCATAATGTAAGTTGTGTCTTGAAACTAAGGGTATGCGGTTTTTTGTTTGTATTTTTGCAGCCTTTTCTTTTTCTACCTTAAGGAATCATTCTGGAGATCCAATAAATTAACATTGGAAAACAGACCAATTTTCATCATAATACCTTCACCGATGTAAATTTTTGTCAAACATTTATATAAACTACCATAAAGACTTCGAGGTGGTTTTGTGAGGTATACAGCTGAGACACAAAACAATATCGAACTTAGTAAAATATTCTTGTCTTCCTCCACTTGTCAATAAATAACCATTGACAATTTTTTTTCTGTATCTTCCTCTCAAAGAGTAATTTGTTTCTTTCACTTTGGAGGTTATATCAAATCAGGTTAAAATCTCTGCTTTTTTCACTGATTGTTTCAAATAGTCCTAAAGAGACACTAGTGACTTCCTTAATATTTCTTAATACAATCTGGAAAAAACAAGCCTACTAAATTGGTCTGGTGTTAACAGGTGTTAACTCTATGTTTTTGCAACACATCTGATCACTCTAATTGCTTCTTTTCATGAATTTTCTGTAAATGAACGTATGTGCTTGTATGTATATAGGAAAGACACTCCCTACTTTGTAGCCAATTCTAAATCCTGGTCTCTCATTCTTCCATTTTGTCTCTCCAGAAAAATCCTCCACGGAATGTTTCAACAACTTGAAATTTCTTCCAGCCTGCTTTTTGGTCACTTCCACTGTTTTAAAAGCCAGATTAGAATGGCTTTTTAAGTGATGGACCACTGTTAGAGAAAGGCCACACACTTCTCTAAGAGCTGGAGATACAATTCTGGACAAAACCAGGGCAAAGCAGTATGATGAAGTTCTGAATTTTGCTGAAATGGAGAACACGGAGACTAACCCATTTTCACGCCCCTCAAATACTCTGCATTGTGAAACCTCACCTGAATAAACTGGGCATATAACGGTTATATAAAACTTGATTTATTTGGTGTCTGAGGCTCATACTTATTTTTAGGTGCTACCACGTTTCTTACTTCCTGTTGCGAAGGAGAGGCATGCAAATACAGCCATCCAGACTTTCCCAGAAAGCACTGCATCCACAAAAATTCTTCCTGACCTACACATTGGGATTGACCTTGTCCTCATTTGTCCCTGTCACACCCTGAGCCATCTTTACCTCATTCTGTTCCTTATATCATAAGGCTAAGAGAGTACAAGCATATACACTTGTAGCAAATGCACCCTCATAAAGACAAAGTCCCCTCAATAAAACAGATTCCTAAAAAGATGAACCCATAGAAGGAGAGTGCCTGAGCACCATGCTCACAGGGTACTAAACGACTCTTTAGATCCACCTAAATTCAGTTTATCCCAGGGCAGGCACATACTTGTTCACATACTGAAAAAAAGCATAAGCAGGAAGAAAATTCATAGATAATGCCAGCAGAAATTCACACACAGCCAAAGTTATGAACATATTGACTGCCATCCAAATGTTTCTTTAAATTACAGTAAAACACAAAATCACTAACTTAAATTATTTAGCTACCACCAAAAGGAAAATAAAATAAAATTTCAATTACTTATGAGTGGTCAGGGTGAGTGGGGCAAGGAAGTCTCCTAGACATGCTTTATCTTTGAATAAATTATATGTTCATAATGTACCAAAGTACCAAAGCATGAAGGGGAGGGAAAAGACAGTTGACATTCTAATTAAAACATTTCACATCTCTCTTTTGGTGCTGCTCTTAGATTTAAAGAAACAGTTTGGATATTTCTCCAAAAATAATTACAACAGGGGCTAGTGGAAGAGAGCTGAGCTGCACCCACTTTTGCTTAGCTCGGCCTGTGTCAGTGCATAGCGTTGCTCAAAGGAGCAGATGGTAAACTAGAAAACGAGTGAAGAGCAGCGTGGAGGCCAGAGTTGCTTATCTGTCCACAGTTCTCTAGTCTTGCTAATTCTCGCATTATTCTGCATTAAGAAACACAGTTTCTGCATCCTATTTAGTAATTCTTTAGAGCAGCTATCAGTTACTGCTGACAGAATTGCAGTGTTCATACACGGGCATCAGATCATCCGGTCGTGGGCAGCGTCGCCCTCCCTACAAGAAAACAGCGAGTTCTGCCTCCAGGTTTGTCCCCGCAACGACCTGAATCGAATGCACTGGGTTGCTTCCCTCTAATGCTGTAGGACTGCAAAGAACAAATAGAGCACCCATACGAATGACATTAAAATGTGCACATGAACTATGATAACATGTATTGATTAAAAGAAGAGAAATTCTGTGCTATGGAACTGAGATCCATTTCCGACAAGGACTTATAAATAGTTCAGTGTTTCTGAGGCAGAAGAATTTGCAGGGCACAGTCACTCTCACCTGGAGGTGTGGTCACATTCTATACTCCAAGATCGGTGAAAATGAGCCTTTTGTTTGTTTGTTTTATCTGCAGTACAATGTAAAGATAACAAAGAATTTTCCTTTCTTTGCACCAAAAGTGGCAGATGTTATTATTGAAGAAATGCTAGAATAAATAGCCCTAGTTCCATAACCTTACATGGTTCGGGTTACACATTCAGATCAAATGAGCAACTGCTTGGAGGAGAGTTGGAGAGAAATAGCCAACAGTAAGGTATGCAGGACCTTCTGCGGGAAGAGTAAAAGATGAATGGACTATGGACAGAACACTGGGTGGTCACAGCTTGAAAAACACAAGAGAAAAGAGAAATTTACCAGGAAAGGGATTTCTGAGTGGGTTTTTTCCCCCTACTGTTAGCCTAATTATATTTTTCTGCTGACTAGTTAACACTGATTCAATGCTGATAAAGTGACAATCGTAAGCATACTTTTAGAAACAAATACGTATACTATGCGGCCATCACATTACAACGTTAAAAGAAAACGTCCCAAACAAATTTATGAAAAGTAGAGGTCCCTTCTGGAAACTACCAGCTGCCTGCTAGCCACTCTTAGACCATATGTTATTCTGAAAACTACTTAAAAACACTATTCATTAACGGTGTTAAAAGTAAGGCTGCCAGGGTGTCTATAAAATGCCAGTCATCAAAACTATGGAAAAACAGTGCTTAAGTTTAGAAAAATAAGATCGCAGGACCTCAGATGTATTGTAGGTGTCCTTAACTACCTGTAGTTGAAAAGTTTTGCTCTCTGGTACAGTGTGTAACATACCGTATCATAAATTCCAGAGGGGAAGTAAACATAGAACCCACAACAACCACCCATCCAAGGAGTTATCACTGAAAAGAACAATGTGTTTCTGCTCCATGATCTCTAGAGGAAAAAAAAAAAACACAACAGTTGCCATTTTGAAATAAATTCTTTGAAGCGTTAAATTACTTATCCCATTTTAAACTGAGAAAGTCCTACCCAGAAAACTAAACTTTCCTGCCTTCAGTCATAATTCTGAGCATCAGTGGCAAATCAGCATCTTTTAGGTGAACCTGTATGAATCAAGTGATTTTTTTTCAAAGCACGATACGCCTTACATGTATGCATGGCAGAAATGAACTGCTCTCAAAATTCCCACAAAATAAACAAGCCAAGTTATCAAGAAACAATATCCCCTTGTCCCTGTCCTTTCTCTCTTCTGTTTCTTCCTAATTGTAATTAGGCAGAGCGAAGACACCGCGTCCACAAAATAAGAATTCATGACAGTAATAATATTTTTTTTAAAAAAGGTATGTCAACATTGTAGGGAAGGTGGGATTGTAAGTGCAGTATTTCTTCATGTGCAGTTCGTTACTTCATAGGGGTCCCCTTTGGAATGAAAAGGCCTAGTGGAATGTGTGCTCCCCTCGAACAATGTGTGATGAAAACTCATAACGGTCCTGGCTTCTGTAGCCACAGATGTTGCATTCCAGTGGGTCCCGGTAGCCATGGCAACCCATGTGAATGGTGTACATGACATGGTCTAGGAAAAGGACTCGGCAGTGCTCACATTTAAAGGCCCTAATCTGTTCTCCTTCTCCATTGAAGACTTTGTAGATGTCCTTCAGAGAGCCCTTAGGAGCCTTGGCGGTATCCAAAGCCTTGACATCCTCCTTCATATAAGCTGGGCTTTGTTTCCTCTTGGGATTTAAGGCAGGGTTTCCTTGGTAGGACTGGTGGTCATCGTGGCTGCTTTCTGAGTCAGTAGAATCCAGGCAGCTATTGCTGGGAGAGGCCTCTCTTTCCTGGGGTCGACTCTTTGGTCTGATGAGAGAGATAGGGCCATCCATGTTGTTTTCATGACTATCGGAGGTTTCCCTGCTAATGGGTCTTTCTATCCGATTTGGATGATAGACCTGAGAATAAGCTGAGCTTATAACTGGGGCCACCTCAGCGATTGTGCTTGGCGGGTGCTGCATCAGAGGGTGAAGGGCCTCAGCTCCAAGGTAGGTGATTGCATTGTTGATGGCTTGGTCCATCATGTGAGACTGCATCAGCTCAGCCTCCTTCTCATAGGTTAAGTTCATATCAAAGTGAATGTCTGGGTAGCTGAATCTCATGAGCTTTTCCCCTGAAAGGGAGAGGGGCAGAAAAGGAAAAAATGAAACAAAAAGATACAACAAAATTAGTGGTTGGGTTAAAAATACAAAAGTACAAAGCCACCTAATCAATTCCATTTTCCATAATACGGTATATCGTATTCCTTAGATCAAATATTTAGGCTCTTTAATTCTGCTGAGGCTCACAAACACTCTAAACCTGCAAAGGGGATTAGCAATAAAAATTTCACAAGCCATTTGTACTTGTTGTAATACCATTGGGAAAATGTACCCAGCCTGAAAAGTATGATTGACTGTGTTACCTTATTTTTATTCACTATTAAAATTTCCACTTGTCTAGAGCTCGGGAACTATATGAGAAAGAAAAAAAAATACCAGGTGAAAATAGTCAGAGACTATGAAACTAAGTCAGCAACCGTAGGGGAAAGAACAAATACCATGTGAAAATCAGTCGGAGACTATGCTTGCTTTTGCACACTTTAAACATCAGTGACCAAGCCACATAACCAGAACTTGTGATCTGGTTATAAAATCTGTCACCTCACTTTTGTGTAGGGTTGATTTGGTTGATTTAGCTGCTCTATTAAGAAAACAATGACAGAATAAACATATGTCATCCTGGAGAGTTCAAGAGTACAATTTAAAAGTTGTACTGTCTGATAAATAAAATTTGGGGCTCTTTAAAATATGAGCTAACTTCCAAAAGTACTTATTAACTTGGAAAATCTTTTGCTTTGTTGCTTTGAATCTCAAAAAAATCATTACTTATTTTCACATGACCCCTCCCTTACTCAGGCTTGTGTGAGAACGGTTCTGCTACGATCCATTGTCCATTTTCTATCCTTTTCCTCGGTTGAAGTATGTTTGTAGTTTTCCCTTTAATATTAACTGCAATCAAATTAATTTTATTTCAATATAATATGTAAGCATTAACTGTAAAGAGTTTGGTGCACAGAATATGAGAAGTAACTTTAATTTTCTTCCTTTAAATATTACCAAATTTGGATAGAATATTTTATCTTTTTTTAAATTTCTGACACTAAAATAATGTGGCCTTCTACTAATTGCCTACTTACTCTGATAGGTAAATCTTACAGAGAACTGCTTCTTAAAAATATCTGTGGACTCTTGTAAGCATTTAGTGTGTTGTAGATGGACCTTTAATGTGTCATGTAGATAGAACATATCAATCCACAGAGCTGCATTCTGGAAAATCACTTCCAAATAGCTAGTATTATCTCAGGTTTGAAGAAAAGCCCCCAAAGTATGGTCAGGGTAATGATCAGAATAATGAAAATAGAAGGATAAAATGAGAAACTATCTCATGGTATCCAATTTGAGATATTGCAATGTCAAAGGTTTAAAAGTTAAGCCACACAAACTTTATATTCTCAAAGAGTCTACAGTTTAGAGTCAGTGATAGTAATTTAAGGATCATTTATAACACAGTGTGATATATGTACTATGCAGTCATATAAGAGGAACTCATGTCTCATACCAGGGGAGTGAAAGAAGTGGTATCAGAGATATGAACATGATGGCGAATATTAGCCAAGTAAAGGAACGTGCAGGTGGAGCAGAAGGTAGGAAGGCTCAGGGACAAAATAGATGGGAAAGATGGAGTTTTTCCCCTGAAAGGGAGCTTTTCAATTATGCAATTTAGGGCTCATTCAACAGCTAAGAAATTTGAATCTTATCCTGAAGGCAATACACATTGAAAGGATTAAATAGGGAAATGAATTGACTGGGCAGTTATTTAACAAGATGGTTTAGGAAGTTGTTGCTATAGAGACCATGGCACCCTGAACCAGTAGAGTGGCACTGGAAATGGAGAAAATTCAGTGAAATGGAGAAAAACTTAGAAAACATAGTTGCTAGCGCCTGGAAATCATCTAGACATAGAGAATGAGAAAGAGAAGGAAGTTATTTAATCATGACGCCCACATTTCTGGCCCAGGAAACTTAGTGGATGTCAATGAGATAGACAAGAAGATGAATTCAGGTCAGGGTACACTATGAGTAACAGTCATGTCCAGTAGGTACAGAGGTACAGTCTCAAACTCATGTGAGAGATGTCTGGTCTTGAGATGTAGAAATGAGAATCACAGGTTTATGGAAAGTAACTTCTAAAGCCATGGGGATATGATATATCACCCACAGTACGGAAAGTGTAAAGAAGAGAAATTCAATGATAGAAACTAAAACACCAAGATTTTGATGTCTGCCCATAGACCAGGGCAAGTGGGATTCCTGCACTGAGTCCCATATTTAAAGTGCCCTGCACTTTGCTCCTCATGGAATGAGGAGTATGCAGGGCCAAGGGAATATGACTGCCTCAAGCTTACTCCCTACACCATAGTCCGACCTCAGAATTCCTTGCCCTAATGGCTCTGCAGTTGCTCCTGGGGTGAGCAGTGGGTTAGCAGTCCTCTCCGTACTGTGTGCTGCTGGAAATGCATGCTTTTCAGCTTGAGGAATGGCCCACCCTCCCCTCCTCATGCACTGCATGTGGGTACAATGTGAAAAGAACTTGGGTGGGCAGGCTGAGGTGTGTACACATGTGCCCGAGGCTCCTCTGGAAACGGAGCAGAACCGAGAGACCAAGAACGTGTCTAAGAGAGGGGCCTGGCTCCAGGCAAGGAGGCAGCTCTGCTCGTGCAGCCAAGGTCTGGTGTGGAACGCCCAGGTACCTGAGAATTCCACATTTATTAGAACTCGGTCTTCTAGGTTAGAAGGGAAAACCATAACAGTTTTCCAGTTTGATTTATATTAAAACATTTAGCCGTATGAATGGAAGCCTCCATTAGCACTTTTGCCCCCATTTGTATAGCTGTTAGGGGTAAATCCATAGAGGAGGCTGAGTGAAGCAGTCCTGATGGTGGAAGAAATGGAAAAAAGGTCAATGTCATCGAAACCAGGGAGAGAGGGTACTTCAAATGGAATTAATCAATAGTGGCAAGTGTTCTATAGGAGCTGTGTGAGATAGCCTAAAAAAGATCCACTGAACTTGGCACCATGGAAACTAGTGATGATGTCAATGAGAATAATTTCAGTGGAGCATAGGGAAGAGTCCCAGGGTATGAGGAGAAAGAAAGAAATTATAGAAAACAAGCAGAGAGAACTCTTTCAAGAACTCCATCTTTGCAGAGAAAGAGAATGTAGATAGGACCTGGAAGGAGACTTGGGTCTGAGGAAAGATTTTTTTTAATGATGAGTTTATCACATCAAATGCTAAAATAAAAATGCCAGTGGAGGTGAGAAGTTGAAATATAAGTGAGGAAAGGGAAGAATAATAGTGTAAGGTATTTGGGGGGCTGAGATAGGAGAATTCCAGAGCACAATTAGAGGAATTAAGCTTAATCAGAAAGAGAGATACTCGTCCTTTGAAACAAGAAGAAAGTATTCAGGTAGATGCACATCATCCTATGGGATTAGTGATATTATACTGAAATCACTTCAACTGATTTTATTCCCTGTGAATCTACATATAATACCATCAAGGCAAGAGGTACCATATTTACAGAGAGAAAAGTTGAAATGGCCAGTGGTGAGTAGGAGAGATGGCTATTCAGAAATAAACCAAAGGAGGGCTGCTACATAGCATGGGTGGGACAATGGATGTTTGAGATCAGCTATTCATCTATTTATAGTGACACCAAATTGTAAGGCAGTGAGATTTTCTCCAGAAGCACTAGCCGCTGTGTAGATACGGATAAGAGGCTCAGATGGCTTCACTGGAGAGTGGGGTTTCACCAGGAGAAGGTGACAGAACAAATCGGGAGAGTCAAAAATATTGGCCAAAGAATAGAAAAAGTGATCACAGGATCACAGCTAGCTAAGAAGAGACAAACAGGAAGGAAGCTCAGGGGTCACTGGCTGGGAGACCTTAATAAGGTCAGAGAACAGTATTTAACTGAGAGACATAGAAAAAAGGAATTTACAGTAACTGTGGCATAATAAAATGTTTTTCATTTCAGACACAGAAGGAATTACTATGCAATTGTTATATAATATACCACTGCTAGGGCAGAATCCAAATTAGAAAAAATTACTTCAAATTCCTAGTAAAAATGCAATGTCATTATTTTCTAATCAAAATGTAAATTTAAAAATCTGTCCCTTTTTTCTAAGAAATGTAATAAAATCAAATTGAGAGTAGCATCCCTAACTCATAAAAAAGTGAAAATGTTTTCAAAAGCAGAACTAAATAAATTCACAGGACAGAAAAAATAGACATGAATTTCATATTTTCCTGACTACACTAGTGTCTAGTTGAGACATAGGCATTTAATGGACATTCATCAAATTAACCAATTTTAAAAACAGATGAATTGGCATTTTTTAAGTTATTTTAACAAAGAAAGAGACAGAAAGAAGTCACCGAGGGCCCAAGGCCAGCTTTTGAGTGCACTCTCAGGGGCTCACAGCGAACTACGGTAAACTGGGGGCCTGGGGCTGCAACCAGCCTCCTTCCAATGAGCTCTGTCCATTTGTCTTTCCAGATTCTCTTAAAGTGGTATTTGGTAATTTGTTAGTTCTTCAATTTTAGATGGAAAGGAAACCTTCTCTAAGTATTCACTGGAGTCCTAGAATTTTATTACTCTTTCCTCCCTGAAATAACTAAAGATTTTCCCCCAGGTAGATGTTCCACAGTGATTTTGACAATAGAATGTAAGAATCTATTTAAATATTTTTATTTCTTCTAATTTATACCCTACATAAGGTCTATAAAAATAAATATTGCATATGCAATTAATGCTAATTCTTTATATTGAATCTCTATTATTCACAGTCTTTTTAGAACTTAGATGCTTTCTGTATCCTCAGATACTTTGTGACTTAAGAGTATGCAGAAGGATGCCAACTGTCAGCACATCAAAGACTATCCAAGGGCTTGCAAGTGAAAAAGGAAAGGCTAACACATCTTACTTAATCTTTTCAGTTCAAAATAATAGACTGGATGAAAACAAAGATCAAAATATGAAATACAGAACCAATATGAAACGTTTTAAATGTAGGTTGCTGCATTATTTTTCTAATGCAGAATTTTTTTAAAAAAGAGACTTCCTTTTACTTTAATCAAATACTAAAAACATTAACATCATGTAAAGAAAACAGTTTAAAGACCAAGTGCTAATGCAAATTTCAAAACACAATCCAAAACTGGCTAACAGACTACACTCTTTCCCCTAAGGGTTATTATTTTTTAATAAATCAACATTTTGTTTTTACATGCTTTTTTACTTTATATATCATTTCATTTTGAGACAGCAACTTACTACTATCAGTCTTTCCTGTATTTCTTTTCTTAAGCCTATAGACTTAAGTGTCTGTGTGTGTATGTGTGGATGATATACATGGAGTGGCATAAAGTAGAAAAGAATAATGAAGAAAAGAGACTGACATTTATTTCATGAACTGAAATACACTGCATATATTTCTAATACATGGGAACATGTCTTTGCCCATTAAAATCACCTTTTTAAAGAAACAAAAGCATTTGTAATGCTTACCCACAAACTTTTGTGGAGTGGAGCTTTTACGTTTTCCCATATTCCCCGTGAGCTTCTCTATGACAGCAGGTCTCTCAAAAGGCACCAGAGAAATATTGTTGTCCATAATAGGCTCTTGTTCCTTACAATCTTCTATAGGAGGTACTATATAAAACCATACAAAAAATGCAATCTGATAATTTCTTCAACATTGTAAAGATACAAAGCTGGATTTGCCCTCTCAATATGTGTTAGACAAACATAAGCTAGTATGCTTAAATAAAAGCAAGTAGAAAGATAACCTCCAGTGTTCAAGTACCCAGTAATTTTACTCCGACACACAGAGGATTTGTTTTTATCTGAGCCTCTCTCAGATCAATGACATAAACTGTTGCCACTATTGGTGGCAAACATGTTCATCTTGTTTCTCATCTTATTCCTCTGAAAGTGTTTTTTGACATTGACTAAAATCAATACTACTTTAAGACTGCACTATTCTCAAGGCTCTTGGAGTTTATTTTTGTAAAACAATTTAAGTAAGTCGACTAGTTTGGAGGAAAGCTTCAACAGACACAGAATAACAGTACAGTATTTAACTAAGTTTTTTTTCAGCCATGTATTTTCTTGTAACAGATTTTCTACGTGATGAGCTGAGTGAGCTGGTAGCCCTACCCACAGCAGTTGAATACCTGCACAAGGCAGCTTTGGTGAAGGAGATCCAGTTCTGAACGTGTGCAGCAAACTGAGGCAGCTCTCTAGCTGTCATTTACTTTAAGAAGAGCTCTTCAAGTAAGAGAAAAGAATCTATTTCCAAATAGGCATATCTTCTCACTGAACTGCTCTGATTCATTGACGTACACTTTCCATGATGCTCCCTCTCCATCCCATTTCAGTTGCTACAGGCTGATACGCTAGCTCATAGGTTGGATACTGGCATTCACAGAGTCGACAAAGAACTTATAAAATTTCTCTTTGAATGCAAATACTGTCACAGAACATTTAACTAAGGACAGAGTAACATCCGGGACAGAGTAAGGTCAGTGGATTAAAACCAGTGCTCACAGGAAAGACCATAACATATTACTTCTCGATTACTGTTGCTTTCTCCAGTGCGTCCTGTGCCAACACTGCTTGAAAACAAAAAGGTTTCATATCTTAGGGTATCTTTACTTGTTCAACATGCACTGTAAAATGATTTATTCTCCTATTTAAATTTATAAAGGATCGTTCCATTGTGCACAACACAATGCATTCCCATTTATAAGGGTGGATGCTAAAATAAAGTGAAAAAGCAAGAGATGAAAGTTAAAATCCAGGGCACCATTCACATGATCTATTTAATAAACAATACAGGTTTAAAATGTAAAAAAATTAAAAACAGCATCAGAAAATTATTTTCTTAAATTGAACATGTTTAAAAAGATTGATATTCAATCTGAGTTTTGGGTTAACCTAATATAATCTAGTAGATATACCAGAAAAATTTAACCTTAAATCTCTGTTTTATAACAGGTTCTCTGGTTATGAACGGCAAGGGATTCCGCAATTGCTGGGTATTAATTTGGCAAAAAATTCCAAGAATGAGATGCAGAAACAAGGAAACAGTTAACTCATTTTCTATATTGATATATAATATTTGTGAAGTAGGAAAAGTCTGACTGCCTACATTATGTAAAACATTATGTCCTATCTTACAAACTAAAATTTAAAAAGAAAAAAAAAAGCTAAAAAAGTAAAGCAAAGAAAGGGAGACCCTAAAATCAAATAAAGGGGATATAGGAGGATGCAATAGCAGTGACGTGGTGAGGAACGATGTAATTACATAGATTATTATCAAAATCTTAAGTTGTGTTTTGGGTGGTGGATTACAGGCATTTATTAACTTATTAAAAAATTAATTATAGACCAAATAACTATAGACCAAAGATGAAAAATATGTCACAGACTAAGATCCAAAATGAAAGAAGGAAAGAAAAAAAAGTTTGTTGTTGTAAATTTTGCTAAAAAACAGCAAAACTGGTTAACAGGGTTTGCCCCCAAATTGAATATACTAATTAGTTTTGAAATGAGTAGTCTTAAAACTTAGCAGTTTTGCTCTAAGTCTCACCTTGAATTTTCATATTTGCACACATTTAACATTCAAAACGAAACCTGGGTGTGGGAACTGTCCCACACCACATCCACCTCAATTCAGATGATTTGTCCCAAGTTCAATGAAGCTCATGTGAACAGAAAATAATGACTTCGGCAGAGCTCTGGTCTGAATTCTTCTTTACCACCGTCCTTTGCATATCAAATGGAGATCTTGTGTCTACCACACTGACAATAATCAATAACAACAACAACAACAACAACAGCTGACAGATGTGTTAAGTGCTGTCTTATGGACTTGCATTTAATAATTTGTTTAATGCTTCACCCCTCCCCACCCAAAGAGATAGGTTCCCTTACCATCTCCATGTTACAGATGGGAAAACAAAGACCTGGAGATGCTATTTCCTCAGGGTTCACATCTAGTTAGAGATAGACATATGGCTGAACCTAGGTGGCTGGGCTCTGGACCACTATGCTATGGTATTCTTTGTAGAATTCATTTGAATTTTGACTTTATATAAACAAGTTTGATATATTTCTAAGGTCTGCCATTGGGAAAATATCTGATATGTTTTCCCAATTACATAACTAATCTGAATTTCTGCTTTCGTGAATCTGGATGCAACTCATCAAAATGTTTCTGGATATACAGGGGATGGGCAAAAGTAGGCTTACCATTGTTTGCATGGAAAATAATGACAATAAATAATGAAGCAAGAATAAACTCTGTGCTTTGCATTCTCACAACTGTGAACCTACTTTTGCCTACTGCTGTACATTGCCCAAAACATAAAACAAGCTCTCTAGTTCACTCAGGGAGGTTTGCTCCCACAGTGAGGCATTCATCTGGGCTAAGAACATATCCACACGCTAACTTCACTTGTTGGAGCAAGTTTCATAACCAGATATCTTCCTTGAAGTTATAACCAGGAAAAAATTGATTTATGCTTGCATTATTTCATTATCCCGTCACATTGATAAATCATAGAAACCATAGGGTTCCCAACACAGAGAGACCCAGATTAGGTCATATGGCCATCCTGCAACCAAAGGGGTGGCCACACAGGCTGGCAGACCCACCACGGCTCATGCAACGGAAGACAGTTCTCTAAAGGGAATGGAAGTCTCGTTATCGAAAGGAGAAGGCAGGTATGTGAGGCAGGCAAAAACAACAGATGTCTTCTACATTGTCACACATTTTCTCCATGTCGCTGAATCTAAAAGAAACTTCAGTTATCTTAGTTATTTCCTTGAGAACATTCAACAATGCTGATACTTGCTTTGGTTTCTGTAAAATCACTCTTTCCATTTTCAAGCATCCTGCTCTTACTCATCTGCATGGCTCTTTTTGTTTGTTTGTTTGTTTGTTTTTCCCTTCCTGGTGTATTCTTGGCCTTCTAGATATCTCACTCTGTATTTACCCATGCAACTGTACAAAGCCTGTTACTTCCAGCTGCTGTCTATATAAATGATGGCTCCCCCAAGTTTATCTCCTCCCCATCCCTCTCTTGAGAGCTTGATTATATATATCATAATATTAAACTTCTTTTTAGTTTCACTTGGCTAACTCTCACAGGTACTTAAAGGATAGTATGCTCAAAAACTGAAATCTCCATTTCCCTAACCCAAACTTTCTATTTCTCTAATTTACATCTCAGGGAATGGCACTACTACCTACCTGCTCATCCATGCTAGGTAACTGTGGCAGATCCTAGATTTCCTCCTTTCACCCAGTCTCCAGCCCCTCCTCTTCCTTACCACCTCTCCTTAAGTATACATGGAGTTCCCAAGTGTTTTAGATTCTACATCTATTGTTGCTCCCAATTAACTAACCTTTCTGCATATTGCAGGCCACTAGGCCCAACTCAGTCAATCCGTAGACTGTTGTAATGGTCTACTTGCCTCTAATCTTGACTCTTCTGATCTATCTCCCACAATTCTAGCAATAAAATGTCCATGTAATAATGTTTTGAGGGAAAAATGACAAATTCTTCACTTAGCACGATAAGCCCTTGATGCTCTGTCACAGCCTGTACCTCTAGCCTTACCACCACCTATTTTTCTTCCCATTACAAACTGGGCTCTAATTATACAGAGCTGCTTCTAGATCCCGAACCCATAACGCTTTTAGACTTCTGTTTCTTCACACATGCTGTTCTCTCTGCATGAAACTCCTTCTCCACTTATTCAGCTAGCTATCATGCCTTTCAAACCTCCACTAAAACATGACCTTCCCTAGAAATTTCTCTTGGATACCCAGTGTGATCTCTCCTCTGTGTCCCTGGAATGCTTATCACGCAAGACAGAGTGTTCTAACTGTTGGCTTACTGGTCCATTTCTTCCGAATGTTGGTAAGTAGCCTTAGGGTAGAGACTGCATCTTATTTGACTTTGTATCTGCAGTGTCTTTTAGGATGTGAGACAAATATACTATCCAATGGATGTTTTCTAAATGACTTAATGAAAGAAATGTCACCCAGTGGAAATAGGTGGAGAAAGCTTACTAGACAGTTTACACATTCCCAACTACGTCTCCAGACAGGACTTCCAGATTTCTTATAAAGAAATCCCCTTTACCAAATAAACCATAAATCTAAAAAATACACATTTTTCTTTAAAAGTGTACTCTCTTTCCAGTTCACACTTTCATTTTTGTTTTTAGGCAAGGAGGGGATGTTAATTATGTGCTTTGATTTTTAAAGCTTTTTCTTCAAGTTGAATATACTTGAAAATGAAGCATAAAATATTTTTTAAATAATCTGCCATAAAAACCAAATGCATTATTATCTTTATTTGCAAAAGTACAAGTCGTTATTTTTCCCTTCGCATCAAACTAGAGACCCTTTTATTCCACCTGCTGAATTTGTTTTCAGCATTTCTCCCCGTTTTCTCCTCCTCCTCGGCATTCTCACTCCCCATCTCTCTGAGCAAGCCGGTCAGCCATCTACTTTGTATTCTGTTTGTGACATTTTTCTTTAGGAGACACAAATTGATTACCCCAGTGAAATCCAAACACTGGATCAGCATAAAAGGCTCTATCTTTACTTCACAACTTACTATTTCAATCTCATTTCCTACCACTCCTTGAGTTCCAACTGTTCCACTTCCAGGAACCTGCTAAAGTTCTTTTTATACCTCTAAGTCTCAGCCTGTGGCAACGGCCTGCCCGGACAGTACATTCTCTGTGAATCTGTCCAAACTATACAATTTTTCTCACCCTCATCCATGGGTAAAACACTGCACTACGAAGCTTTCCGTGCCTTCTCCAGACAGAGTGAGGTCGTTCCGCATCTGTGCCCCTGGAGAAGCATGTACACACCTTCATGACTGCATCTGCTTCCTTTCATTTTATTTGTTAAGTATGTATTTCCTACTGGACTGTAAATGTAAGAAAGACATTGCATCTGTTCCATTGCAAATGTAAGAAAGACATTGCACCTTTATATCCCCAAAATGTTCCATAGAATTTAGCACATAAATACTTGATAAATGTTTCCTGAGTGAGTGAAAGAATGCCACTTCAGACACTTTCTCACTGTAAGAGCTAAAATGGGGAATAACATGTTTTGGGAAAGAGAGGCTAGGAAATATAACTATGTCAGATATGCAAATAAAAGAACAGTAATGAATTTCAAGCAGCTAATGGCCACCAAAGTGATAGCAACCCCTACACATACCACTAGAGGAAAAGACCCCCCTCCCCCGCCAAAAAAATAGACTGCATGGAACAAGATAGTGAGAGAGGGAAGGGGATAAAAATGATTGCACTGTGGCTCTGTTTAAAAGGAGACACACGCCAAGTAATGTATATGAGACAAGGTTACTAATGGACTCGAGCAGCAGTCCATTATCACCTATATTTTTCTTTCTTATGGCACTTATCAATCCCTGACCCACACATTCAATTCCCCACTAAGTAAGTTAAAAAAGGGAAAAGGAAAGCAAGGATAATTCTAAATTATTATTTCAAAATACGTAGAAAATTATAGTATTAAATGGCATTAATATAACCCTAGGTGGTTAAATTGATATCCAATACTGAGGAACAAATATTTGGGTCTCTAAATGATATGGAAACTCACCCCCCCCCCCTCCTCCTTGGCCTCACCCATGCTCTCCCCAGGAGCTGAGTCTCTCTGCCACTGTCCCCACTCTCTCTTCACTAGTCCAATTTCAGAGCCACCCGTAAAGGGCCTTTGCTGGGAAGAGCTAAGCAAGCTGAAAATGGGGTTGATGCTGAGGCTGCAGCACTTTAGAAGAAAGTCTTTTCCTCTCCCCAAATACACCTGTTTAAATTGCTTGTCAGCACTTGATCTATAACCGGTTAATCTGCCAACAGATAGTTAAATGTTGACTATAATTATTTGTGTACACCGATTTCCCTATATGGATAGGAAAATGAATTAATAGAATTAATAATCCAATGAAATGTAAAACTGCAGTAAGAGATTATTATATGGAAAAAGTAGCAGTGCCATAAGGTGTGTTTGGAAATCTTGGGCCTGTCCCCAAGCCTCTATCAGCTACCCTGCCTCAAGCCACCTCTAAAACCAACTATTTAAACAAAAATAGTGTGCTTAGTAGGCAAATGAAACCTCTAATGCCTAAATTAATAACAGGAAGTAACATAACTGTAAAGGGGATGGAACATTTACAACTTCTTAATATTTAATGCCCAGAAATGTAACACTAAAAAGAACTATTTATTGGGTGTTTATTGCACACCCAATAACATTTAATTATCATGCCAAGCCTATGAGTAACACACTGAGACACCACATAGCTAGAGCGGGTCTGTCGAACTCCCAGGCTCACCGCTTTAACCTCTGTGCTATGAAACCTATGCTGCCCTCATAAGCCCAGGCAATGCACACTTGCACTATCAAATTTACTAAGACTTAGAACAGAAAGGTTCTATAATTTTTTAGTTAATAATAATATCAATAAATAGACTCACAATGATAAATGGAATTAAATCTGATTGTGTACCCTCAATACAAGGAAATGCTTCAATTATTCACAATAACAAAATATTTTAATTAAAAGGAATCCCCAGCAACATATATTGACTAGCTGCTAATAAACACAGTTCCACAGTAGAAACTATATAAAGCAAATAAAAGCCCCACAAATAAGCTTAGATCTGTCTATAAATCGCTCAATAGATATTTATACTTTAAAAGTCACTATAGCATTCTCTAATTGCACTACTTAATACTGCCAAATCTTTTTATATAACAGATATAAAAATACCAATAAGTTAAGATTTTTGTATGTACTCATATGAATAATAAAATTAAAAAACATATAATTAGTAGGATAAGACAAGTCAAGATGGCTCCAAACATCAATAACTGAAATTAATGGTTTTCCTTGTGAGGCTGATATACTAACATTAATTTATCGGTAATAGAGAATTATTAACTGATACATCTTACAGATTGTCTTTCTACCTGCTACCGTGTGTTGTGCAGATCAGGATGTTTTGCACGGGTTTTGATTTTTGTGGAGGGAAGTGGTGCCTAGTTTTGACCTAGTTTGTGTCCTACACTTATAGAAAGCAGAATCAGTAATTTCCAAGATACATCACAAGACAGATGGGAGTAAATTCCAATTACATCACTGATCACTTACCTAAGAGAAATGCAAAGGCACAAATAGCCAGTTAAACCTGTTAGGAAACCTGGAGACATATGTGGAACTGTCTAACTGTTAGGAAGAGTGGTACCTTTGTTTGGTGTAGTCAAGGGTACCTGCTATTATTATGTTTATGCAAATACATGTTAGGAGAAATAATTTGTGATTCCCACAAAAACTCAGTATAGTTTGTTATGTGCTATGTGTCCCAAAGCTCAACTCATTTCAATGCTCAAGAAGGTAATGCCATGTGAAGTTAATGTGGTCTAAAATTGCTTTAAACAAAGAGTCTATCTCCATGCTGCAGGGCAGACAGAACTATTTACCCCATTAGAAACGACAAGAGCAGTGGAGAGGAGGATGAGGGTGGTGAAGGCCGTTTCTACCCACCATGGTGACTCATGACCTGCCCCGCGGCCTCCATGCTGACGTTCTGGAGATAGTTGTGGCAGCGCTCCTTGTGCTCCTCCAGTGAACTGCGCTGCTTGTAGCTTCGTCCACAGTAGTTGCACTTGTGAGGTTTACCCACTGAGAAGAGAATTCAGGATTAGTGTGCGGCCAGTCTTGTCCACAGCAAAATTAACAGCTAACTTCTGATAGTCTGGAGGAAGCATTTATATGCTTTTCAGACTTAAATCTCTTCCTCCTCCACACTCTGATTTAGATAATAAATCTCTACCAAGGCTAGAAGACAGAAAGAAGATAAGGCAGATGGTACCTTTGGTGACAGAGGAATAACTGAATCCAGTTCATGCTCTGACTGTATCCTAGATGATCAGTCTTCAAATTATCTGACTCTTAACAGTAACAGTTACTCTTAACACAGTTCTTTCAGCTAGATACATGACGAGAATTATTTTGTACTTATTTTTTTCGAGGGGTGGTGGTGGAAAGGACAGAGAATCACACCGAAGGAAACCAAAATGCAACAACTTGAAATGTCATTGTTTAATGAAAAAATTATTCATGGGTACCAAGAAGACTAAAAGGAATTCAAGTGATGAGAAAAAGTGCAGATAAAAGCAGAGTTTCTCTTTTTTTTCCACCTTGGTAATAACTATTCACACATGCAAAACTTCGCAGCAAAGTGTGTTCTCCCACATGAGCCCTGTTCTTACATTACCAAGAATTAAGCTCCTGGGTGCTTTGAGTCAGGATATTAACAATAACCAGTGAAGCCCTAACATATTCAGTTATCCAATGATCATAGTATTTTCCAACATATTTCACACTCAGAAAATAAATTATTTGCTAATAGCCAGAGAGACATATCTCATACACCTGGTACAATACTGTGATGATCACATTAAAAAGAAAAAAAAAGTTTACAAAATTGATTAAGAAGGAAAAAAAACATTTATGGACAGAAGCATGGTTTAATGTATAACTGTTCACAAGGCCATCACAGGGAGCTCTGGCTCCTGGTTTTGAACAGCAGGGAGAGAAACACACACCACCAGGCGGTCTGGGCCAAAGCCCTCGGAGGTGAAGCACAGAGGGGATCCGGGGAGTGGCTCTCATTCGACTCCCATGGGGATCACTGTGCTTCGCCCAGAGGTCACGCGGCCGACTCCTTTCCGTGGCCAAAGGCGGCATTCCTGACCAGTCACCTTCCATGCCATGGCAGTGGGAATAAGTGGGACTGAAATACTGTAACAAGGCAAGGTCTTCACAGCTACATAAACATTTCCCGGACTGATTTTTGTTTGAAACAAAACCTTTACTTTATATTTGAGGTTCACATAAACTAAAATAAGTTGTTTCATTATTATAGTTTTTTGGTAAATTATCTTAAACAAAAGCTTCTAAGGCATGATTACTCATTTCTAAAAATACTAGGCAAAGTAACTTCTATTATTCAGAACCAAGGATTTCTGAGAAGTCGAAACCAGGCAGCTGTGTATATTGTGCAGAATGTGTATCACTGTGTAAGAGCATTGAAAAATACAAGCAAATACTTTTCGTCAGAAACATTTAGTGCAAACAATATACTTACATATAATTATATTCCATGAGAAGAGGCTACACAGAAGAAAAAGCCAGTGTTCCCTATAACCACCACCCAATTTTGGGTTCTTTAGTGCTGTTTCTCTAGAAATAAGTAAGGCATTCGCACTGAATAAGTCTACTGAACAATTAATACTTATTAAGCACATGCACTGACATTAATTGCCCACTATAAACTAGTTTCATCATCTTCCTCTATTATTCTTGTCACATTGTGTCCTATGAAACCTGTTTTACTGTAAACATAAGTTCCTACACTTTCTTCCCCTAATTTATACAAGCAAACTTGATACCTTCTCAAGTTATTTAAATGTAGTTCCCCTTTATTCTCCCTGGCTCACAACCCTTTATAAACTCTCACTTGACAAGGAGTAAAAGACTGTATATGTTATACTGCTTTCAACAGTCATTTATTTTACTCCCCTCATTTTTGAAATCTATCCATTTGCTTCACTTCCCCTTCTCCCACTTTGTCATCTGCTTCCAAACATCACTCTTGCCTCTTCATACCATCCTTGTTCTCACTGAGTCCAAGGAATTGAAGTAACATTTTCTAAAAGTGTAACCCCGAGTTTCCTAATTCTTCATCTGCACCCACTTCAGCAATCCACACACTGGTGACATGTTGGACTTTGGCATCACGTAACTACCTCCAAGAAATTTGCTCTGAAAAGGCTCCACCTATTCCTTCTCACTTAATACAGACTGATAAAGAGCCTACTACGTATCAAAACTGTGATGAAGCTGGATTGTCAAATGGAGAGCAAATCTCATGGTACCTATTCTCATGCAACTGACAGTTGACCAAGGAAGACAGGCAATGAACAAATATTTGTTTGACAAATCGTGGTAGCTTCTGCAAAGCAAACGAGTGCTGTGCTGGTACAATGTGGGGAACCTAATTCAGCTGGAGAAGGCTGAACAGGAAGGTCTTCCTGAGGGAGGAACACTTAGGCTGATAACCATAGGAAAAGTAGAAGTTAGTCAGATCATGGGACTCGGGGGTGGAGTGGAGGAGAGGCAGTGTGTCAGAGGTTCTGGGAACTGCCATCATTTCTTTCTGTTTGTTCTCACGTCCTTAGTTCCTTCAGAGTCTAGAGCTTGCCCTCGCTAGTTTTTAGAAAATCATTTTCAAACATCACTAACAATCCCTGCCAAATCTAATGGCCCTACTGTCTCTGTAAGACCATTTCCTGTCATTTCTTTGATATTTCTTCAAAATCATGTACATGAAAATGTGGTTAACATTTATTCTCTATATATGATGAGTTTATCTGTATAATACTTACAAACTTATGAGTTAAAATGTATCACATATATATTCACTGAAGAGGACACACATTTTGCTCCTTTCACTTTTATCAATTATTACACCTTCTCACTATCTGAAACACCTTCATTCTGACATTACTGAAACATTTTAAAAAGTCCTCTGTAGCCTCTGAACCACTATATACAGTGGACTTTAATCAATCCTGAATCTTCCTTATTTCTTGGTTATTATCAAGCTTTCATGGGTCTTGAATCTCCTATTTAGTGTCTGGAATCAGGTGCTATGTCCTCATTGTCTTCTCTACCTCTTACTTTGTGGCAAATACATATGTACACCCAGATTCTGTTCTCAGTACAGTAGTCTCTCTCTTTTCCCTCTAGGTTAAGCCCTTGTTTCTATGAAACATCCAAATTATGCCTGGAAAATTGCCCATATTTGTAAGCTTCGACTTGTCATTTAAACCTTTTTGTAAATGATCTTGATGAGCACATAGCTTTCTCCTCTGTGCCTTCACAGTGCTCTGTTCACACGTGTGATACACAGGACAACTGCATTGCAGGTATCCATTTGGTGTTAATTTATTGCCCTAATCCAACAACGAGCTCTGTTGTAGGGACAGAGGTCACATTTTACCCAGTTTTGAATTGACAGTGCATACAGCAGTCATTAAACACACGAGATGCTCTACAGGTAGTTGCTGAATGACTGCACTTGAATTTCATACTTCCAAATACTTTCTAAGTATTGCCTCATGCATATTCTTCTGAAATCTAAAATTCAACATAACCATTTTAAAATTGGCTTTATTGAGGTATAATTTACATAAAATAAAATCCACCCACTTTGAGTGTATTTTCAAGGAGTTTAAAAGTGTATAGTTTGTAACCACCACCACAACGAAAATATAGAACATCTCCATCCCCTAAAAAATTCTCTCTTGCTCTTTTGCAACAACTCTCTTCCCCACAGTCACTCCATGGCAACCACTGATCTGCTTCTGTAATGACAGTTTTGCCTTTTTGAGGATTTTACATGCACTGAATCATGCACCATGTAGTTTTTTGCATCTGGCTTCTTTCACTCAGCATAGTGATTCTGAGATTCATCCATGTGGTTACATGTATTGGTAGTTGATTGCTTTTTATTGCTGAGCTCCATTTCGTTATATGAATATACCACAGTATGTTCATTCGTTTGGGATGTTTCTAGGTTATGGCTATTAGGAATACAGCTTCTACAAACTTTTGCAAGCAAGCCTTTGTTTTCATTTCTCTTAGGTAAATACCTAGAAGTGGAATTGCTGGTTCATGTGGTAGGGATCAGATTAGCTTTATAAGAAACTGCCTGTTTTCCAAAATGGATCACTGTGCATTTCCATGGCACTGCATACATTAGAGTTAACAGCTGTTCCACATCCATGTGAACATGGTATTGTCAATCTTTTTATTATTTTACCCATTCTAGTGGGTATTGGAGTGGTATTTCATGGTGTCTAGTGTTTTTCTAATGTCTCAGGAGACTAATCTTTTGCCATTCACATTATTTCCTTTGGTGAATTAGCTGTTCAAACCTCTTGCTGTCTTTTAAATGTGTTATCTCTAATTTTATTATTGAGTTGAAAGAGTTTTTGTTATTATGGATGAAGTCTTTCATGAAGTATATGCTTTGCAAGTATTTTCTATAAATGTGTCTTGCTTTTTTGTTTTTGAGTTTCTGTTGAAGAACTCAGTTTTTAATTTTGATTAACTCCAATTTATCAATAGTTCCATCTGTGCTTTGTGTTTGTGTGTGTGTGTGTGTGTGTGTGTGTGTGTTTTCTATGCAAGAAATCCTTGACTAAACGTCAGAATAATTTTCTCTTTTGTTTTCTTCTAGAAGTTGTATGTGTTAGCTCTTACATTTAGGTCTCTGACTCATTTCAGCTTAATTTCTGTATGTGGTATAAGGTAAAGCCTATGCCATTCTTTTCAAAAATGTGGATATCGGATTGTTTTAGCTCCTTTTATAGAAAGTTTTCTTGTTTCCTTAAATTATTTCAGTACCTTTGTTGAAAATCATTGATCATGTATTTTTGCATATACTTCTGGACTCTCTATTCCATTCCATTAATTTCTATGTGTATCCTTAAATCCAAAGTGTAGGTCTTACTAACAGTCTTTGTAAGTAGTGTAAGTTATCCAACTTTTTGCTTGTTTTCAAAATTATTTTTGCTGTTTTAGGTCTTTTGTATTTCCAAAGAAAAATGGGG